TTAATATTTTTCTCATGTGTTATATAAATAGACTTGTACTTTGTGCTGTGTTCTGGCGAAGGGTTATATCTAGAAAAAGATGAAAGCTGCATTTGGTGTTTCAAATGAAAACAGCTTAATGTCCGAATTCCTCTGTTAATGTTGGCTCACAGTGAGGGTCAACCTGTGGCCCGCAGAGCAAGCCCCTTGGTCTCTGCAGATGTTATTCTGTGCCTACACAAAGCAGCTTAGGGATCAGAGCCTGATTTTTATTTTATTTTTCCTTTTTTTTTTTTTTTTTGTGGGAGGCTGAGAATAAAACACTGCAAACCAGACTGTGCAGACGCGGCTCCTCTGCTTTTTTGCCTGGCTTTCTGAATTCAGTAGATTCCTCTGGGTTTGCTTTCCTAAAGCTGGCAGCAGAGGGACAGCAGTTGATACCACCGTGCTTGTTTTAAAAACTGATGCGTTTTGGTCCCAATATAATAGATCTTACCAACTGGTCTGTCACTCCTGAGGAACTGCAGTAGGTCTGTGATGCCTGGGAGTTGCAGTGCTCGTGCAGTTGAGGAAAACAAATTGCCACCATATTAGAAGCATGTTCGGACCTCACGACTGCAAACATGTGGCAGCACAAACTTGAATGAGGTACTGGAGCCAGAGCTCTGCATCAAGGCTGTGCCAGTATGCCTGGTTCCCAGATCCCAGCTGAATCTGCAGGGCCAGTTAAATTTTGCTATGAGGAGAATGCAAAAGTAATTTCTAGTGGATTAATTCCATACAGGCTGTTTCTTTGACAGGCTGTAAGCGATGTGTTCTGTTTAAAATAAATGGAAAAAAACCAACAGCTCAGGAACAGGGAATACTGGGTAGAATGCATGCTTATGCTCAAGTTTAGCCTTGCAGCACTCCTTGTATTTGGTGATTCAGGTGGTGGCTGTAATATTTTCAGGTGCGTCCCACGGCAGGTAATATATGTAGACAGGGAATTCCCTGGAATCGAATTGGGATCCTACCAGCAAAAAGCTGTGTAGCAATCGCATTCAGACAAGACTGTGGGTATATGAGCTGCGTGCTCCTATGCACCGGCATGCTTGGGAGTGGGAACTGGATGCAGACACTTAATGTGTAGCACCTTGTAAAACTTCTTGCTCTGTTTATTCTTAGTCTTTCGGCCTGGACAAAAGGTGAAGTGCAGGCAATGTAGTTCGCATGTGGCCCTCCAAGTGCCATGCGACCTTAGGTGGAGTTGTGTCCTCTGCACGTGGTTTGTACAACACCCTGCCAGCCATGCCTGCACCAGAAAGCCCTGGCACAGGCAAGGTGCTTGCCACTGCTTTAAGCACTTCATTAACTAGCCTGCTTTGCTCCCTATGGTGCTTTAAAATGCATTGGCAACTGATAACATATTGGTGACTCGAGGTCTAGACCTGGCTTCTGTTAGCATTGGGGAAGAAATTTCAGCAGTGTTGCCAGTAAGTCCCTGCTTTTGTTAGGAGCTGTGCTGGTTTCCTGCTGACAAGATGCACCGTCTGATGGGGCAAATGGATGGAGGAGTAGGGGAAGGTGTCTTAATAATGAAACAGGCAGTGCACCATGCATACAGTGAAATGTCAACCCAGTACCCATGTGGGCAGTTCCTGCTGACTCACCTGTAAACTGGTAGAAAGTGGACTTTGGGGGGGACTTGTCTTTTCTGTGTTAGTCTTATCGTCTCAATTAGCACCCATCGAAATTGCTTGCATGTGTCTGTTGAATGTTGCATCAACCAAATGCTCAAATCCAATACCTAGAATTCTTGTTTAGGGGAGGGAGGGTGGTGGAAGGGGCAGCTCTGGGGATATGCTGTTGGAAGTGGCACAGCATCTTGCAAACATCTGCATTTACTTGGCTCCTCCCCTTCTTTCAAATCTTGACAATTTATTCACAAAGAAAATGTAACTGCTACTTCATAGCTGGTGAACTGCTTGGCATTTGCTAAAGGGGTATTAGGGCTGTCTCAGGTCAACAATGTAGTCTAAGCAGCAGCATTCCTCACCTCCTCCTTCTGAATCTATGATTTTGCTGATAATTTTTTTATTGTTGGCTTTTTCCCTTTATTTTTATCTGAACCTTTTTATTGACACCTTTCCTTCATCACTGCTACCCCCAACTCCCCCAAGTTTTGCCTGAAGATACAGAACCCAATATAGTGAACTTAAGCTAAACACCAAAAGTCTTCCTTCTCTTGCAGCTGCTTTTGAAGGGCTCCACAGACCATTTGTCTGAAAACCACAGTCATACATCTGTCTCTTTTATATAAATATATATATATACATATATCTTCTTAGTCTTGGCCTACATCTTGCCTTTTACTCAAGTAACAGAAGACTCCATTTTGAAACAGAGGTAGTGCTTGGGGTACTGGTTTGTGTGCAGACCAGTTCTTAGGTTTTTTTCCTTCACTTCGGGTTGCATGAAGAGCAGAAGGATATTCTTGAAATATACTGTGCTGTAGACAGTGAAGGAGAGAATAAACAATATTTAGAGAGAGGTTCATCTCTTCTGAAAACAAACACAACAAAACCCCCCCATCATTCTTGTAATAGGGTATTGAACTTGCTCTGTAGATGGAGCAACTGTCAGGTAAATGTCAAAACTCTCAGTTTTGGTTCCTGGATAAGGCCTGATAGTTGAGGCATTAGTCAGCCTCCCCACACCTCCTGAAATGTGTGGCTGGTGCCCATGTTTGCACACTGCAGGTGTCAATTAGGCTTTTGTGTCCCAAAGAGCTCTGCAAAGAGGCACACATCCGTCACCATTTGGTTTGGTAACTGGCATAACCAGGGCAGGCAGCAGTGCCCCTCCAGAGCTGGTCTGGCAGGACGTATCCCAGGTGAACACCAGGATCTCCTTTCATGAACCAGAGGTGCCTTGTTGGTGTGCTGCATGCAGAAGGACTTCCAGCTACTCATTGCATCCTCTCTTAATCCAGCAAAATACTCTTTGCGGGCTGAATTTATTGGCCAGTGGTTCTGCTGCTGGTGCAGCGGTCACCATGCATGCTCACCAGAGCTGGGTGTGAGCTCTGCTACAGCAGGCAGCTGAGACTTGACTAGTTACAGTGATTGTGTTCATCTTTGTGTATAACTGCCAAAAACATCAGGGCAGGGAGGTCATGCCATAGGGATGAATCTAGACCAGCCTGTATTTCCTGTCTCTTCCAGAGTTCCCTGCGAACAGTGTCTTTGTGCCTTTGACAGGCCCGTTGCGGGTGTTTGGGGAGAAAGGTTCCCACCTGAACTTATATTTTCTATGTGTTTTCGTAAACGTTGGCAGATTTGGCATAGTGTTTGTAACTTTTCATGAACATTGGTGTGGAGAAATGTTTGTGGAGAAAAAGTTTGATCTCTTTCTGTGTGTGTAGGAGTAGAAAATAAAAACAATATCCTCTTATTATGGTCAAATGGCAAAGACAGTAAATCACAACAAATGCAGGCCACCTTGACCTATTAATGTAGCACAGAATATGTGTAGAACACTTTCAGTGTTGCTGCATTGGTCAGGAGTGCTTACATGGCACTGTAGGAATACATACAATACCTAACTGTGGCTCACTTGATGGAACAAGTTTTAAAAAAATAGATAAATAAAGAATTCATAGGCTCTTCAGAAAAAGGTACCAGGTAATGGTTGACATAGTTGGTGTCTTGGTAACAACACTGGAATGCTTTCCAGTGACAGTGGATTAGCATTAGTGCTGAACCTTGTAAGCATTTGAGTTTTCCTTTACCTGCAGAGGGGCAGTTCGCTTAATTCCTTGCAGGATCAGGAGCTGCACCAGCCTGAAATAAATTGCTTGTGGGTTTTTTTCATTGGATATTTCTTTGCATGAGCTTTGCTTGCATTTTCCCCTCTCTGTGGCTGGAGAGATACTTTAATCATCAATAACACCTAGGTACGCAGCAGCATCCAGCTGCATGCACGTTTGTGGGGAGAGGCAGAACAAGCTTGCCACCAGGCAGGTCGTGCGTTTGTGCAGGAAGACTTTCTTGACCTGTGATGTCTCTGCTTACTCGACGGACTGTGGGCTTACACCTCCAAAAAGCTGTCTTGCTTAGCACATCATGCCCAGATGCAGGCAGGGGTTACAGCACATTATAGGAGAGCTGCTTTGATGTAATCTGCCAGCTGTAAAAGCTGCCACCACCTTTGTATCTTTTGATCCTTGTGTACTGGACATGTTTTCAGTGGGACAAAACTAAAAGTCTGGGAAGTTGCTGGTTTTGAACGGGCGACAATAACTTCATTTTAGGAATGTTTTTAATCTGAGCTGTATAAATAAAATTAGTATTTCCAGCTGAATCAATTAATCCTCCAAGAAGTTAGGGCTGCCTTCTAACGGCAAAAAAACTGAGGCATCAGTTGGGGAAAAAAAAAATAGATCTTAAATCCTAGTAGATTGGAAGAGAATAGCATACTGATGTGGTCAGTTCAGGCACCATGATTTTTTTTTTCTGTTTGTAGACTGAGAATTAAGAGGATTCCTCTTTTTTTGCCATTAAGATGGCAACAGCAACAGCAGTGGTTAGCTGCTGATATTTCTTCTTGCTTCTCCATGGGCTTGAAAGCTGGCTTTTTGGGTGCTTTTTACTCTTACCTGTTACCATTTAGATCTTCTAACACTTTCTGCCCCCTCATAATTTTTCTTCACAGATAAAAATCTTGTGGGCTGTTTTTATTACTAACCTGCTCAGTTTTTTATGTCCAATTCTGTCTCTGAATCTATTGAATGCTAATAAATGCAAATTTATTATAATTCCTCCCCAAACCCACAGTTTGCTCATGGAAATTAAGTTGATACCTTGAAGTATCTAAGGGATGTAAAAGTGAAGCACTTTAACAGCAAAGCTGTTTCATAATCCATATAAATACGTGTTTTAGAGAGCTCTTTTGCAACTTACGCAGGTGTTGGCTTTTAAATGTTCTAAATTTTGGTTTGTTTATCCTTTTCTCTAATATTTCTTTTCTCTTTTTAATAGGTCGTCACACAACGAACTAGAAAAACATAGGTAAGTCTTGAGAAAAAAGCAAATTAAAAGATGTATGGCTGACATTAGAATTACCATGCTTATTGAAGAATATTTTGCTGAATTTGTTTTGATTCTGCACTGAATAGTTTAAATTGGGGGTTTTAATCAACTAAAATCTAATAGGTATAATATTATTTGGCTTTTTTTCTGTTGTTTGGTATGCTATTTTTGAAACACCCCTGGTAATTAGCTTTGGACTGATTAATACTGTAACTGGTTAACCATACTGTTACTAATAAAGAATCTGATTGCAGCAATTGTTTGCTAGAGGTGTTAAATGCTATAAGTACAATCAAAGTATTTTGTGATTAAGGTGGATGATTTTCAGGGAACAATATGTCACACAGGGTTATTCTATGTTTTTTTTAAAGTATGCCTAAAGTGCAGTTAATTTTCATCTTGCATGTAAGTACCTACAGATACGTTTTTCCCCTCCGTCTGCTTCCTTGCTGGTACGTGTCCTGTCCAAAGAGCTGTGTGTGAGCTAGAAATCAGCAACTCCTGAGCTGCAGCCCTGGTTCTGTGTATCCAGTGCTGTGAAAAGCTGTACGTACTTACAAAGGACATTCATTAGACCCTGAAGACCCGATTTTTAAAGAACATGTCTGCACAGTTTTGGAGGCCGTGTTTACTGTCTATTGTATCTTGTCAGAGTTTGTTTGCAGATGGGCTCCTTAGCTGTAGGAGGTCTCCTGGGGTACGCTGCTCTGAAGGTGCACACAGAGAGCTGCTGAGTACAAAAGGTGCCCATCTTTGCACTGGCTTTCGGTTCCCTGGCTGAGCAGCGCTGTGGCACCCTCACTGCAGGATCGCTGCCTTTCACTTATCATTCAAGCAGCAGGACAAACTCTCTTTCGGGTAGTTTTTTGTTCTTTTTTGTGTAGCTTGTGGTCTTTCAGGTTTCATGCATCCAAAGAAAGCAAGGGGTGTATGTGTGAATATGACTTAAACCTATTTGCATGCTTCTAAATACCTGAAACATGGTTGATGGCACAACAAGATTGAACTCACTGGGGTGGGGGGGGTTGTGTGTTGTTCTGTGGCTGCAGTTATGTAGCAGCTAGACCATCACTTCCCTTGCATGCCTACATGCTTTCCTGTAGTTTAATTGTAATATGAGTAAACTATAGCCCTGCCTAATAGCCACGTGGTCGTCCTAGAGATGAGAGGAACTGGGGAAGGCTCAAGCTCACAAACACAGGCCTGGGCTGCGGAATGCAGTGCATTGGCTAAGGCAGTGAAATCAGCTGGCAGAAGTTCTGCTGACGGAGTCTTCAAGAAAATAACTTGATGCAAAATTCTGTCCTTCAATCACAATTCTTTAAAAGAAGAAAAAAATCTTTGGCCCCAACTGTGCTTCTTTCTCACTCTCATTTTTTTTCCATCCTCTTTCTAGATACCCTGTTCCATTTCTTCCTTTTCCCCTGCTCCATCATTACTGACTTGTTGTTATCCAAACTGCATATTCCTTTTTTTTTTTCTTCCAGTCATTTTTCTAACCCAAGCATGGAGTTGCCTCTTCTTCCCTCTGCTCTGCCTTGACATGTTTAAGCAGCACGGTAAATGAAGTACAGCAGTATTTGCAGCAGATGCAAGGGCAGAAGAAGGATCTATTAATTGTTCAATCTCTGTTCTCACTTTCAGTTCTGTGTTGTATCTTTGTAGTAGCTAGAGCATATAGCATTTGCCTTGCTACCTTTTCTTTCTCTGCCATCTCAAGGTCAAAATAGGTAAACTGCCAGGTATGTCTTGTGATTATACAACTAATATTTGTAACTGCTGCCACTTGCTGTACCTCTACAGTTAGACTATACTTGAAGCCAGGTTTTTATTATTCCTGGTGAGAACCTGCGAATTAGTACAAGATCCTTGTATGTGCAAATGGGTGTTCACAAAAGCAAGTGAGGTGTATACAATTCTAGTCACTTAATATATCGGTGTGAAGGACTTTTGTAATTTATTTTTTTTTTAACAACCCCCTCCTCCAGCACTGTGGGTGTATGAGCTGATAATACCAATTGTACTGTTTTTCACTCTGTTTTACTAAAATTGCATTAAAATCCATCAAGCATCTTGCAAAGTTTGATGGAAGATTCCCAGCCATAGTGTGTCCCTGTAGCAGCTGGTCCTTGCAGCAGAGCCCATCCTCTTCCCCCAGCGCAGCCCTGCCCTGCTGGCTATGAAGCACTGGATGTTGATTTTGGAGGTGTATTCTTTCCAGGACCATCGCCTTTGACTCACCACTGCCATGAGGCTTCTGGCTGAGGCACACTTGGTTATCTCACAGGAGCCCGTCAAGGAGGAAGAAAGGAGATGGCAGCTCATATCCTCCTCCTTGCCCAGTCCCTCATGGGGTGTCTGTGGGCTGGACTGAGCGCTGGAGGGCAGGGAAATGGCTTCCTCATTTACAGGGCCTTTGTGTCCTGGATGAGGGTGGCCAGAGCTGCCACTAACCAGAAAGCCATAGCAGCCGTGTACTGGTACACAGTGCTGTTCAGGTTCTGCATTGGTGTTGCACATAAGAGGTTTTATCTCTGGTTTTGATGTCAGTGGGAATGGCAGTGGTTGATCTCTCTGTGTGTGCAGACTCAGCCGTTTGGCACCACTACTTTAATTTGCATTTTCTACTGCTGGGTCTCTTTCACTATGCTCTTGAGGGGATGCTCAGAGAAAGACAAATGGAAGCAGAGACATAATTCCAACAAGAAGTCTCGTTATATGATAGAATTCAGACTACAATTATGGTAAAGTGTTTGTCAGCAATTCATACATAAAACTCCTTTTTCTCAGCTTTAAGTCTCCCTGGAATACACTGCTCAGAACTTCAGTGTTTGTTCATTATAGTGAAACTCTGTAAGGACTCATCCCTCTAACGGCAGTCCTGTTTTGGTCCTGTGTGATTAAGGTTTGCATCTCAGAGCCATGAAACAGGAAACCCCCTAAATAAAAAGTAGGAAGGCAGGAAATCTTCTATCCTAAGGACAAATGAGGTTCTAGAAGATATTTTAATAATTACAGACAGGTCAATCAGAATGGTACTCAGATATAACTAGTTCCTAATGACAAATATATATATATATATTCATGTATATTATTTTTTATTACTGTGTCCAGCCAGAGCATTATATCAGTAGGCTTTCGCAGAGCAATGTAAATAGCAAGTACATTGGTAATCAAGACTTTTCACAAGGCAGTCTTTAAATCAACCTAACCTGACAGCTGTAGAGAGGAATTCAGCTTTCATAGTGTAAAAAAACCAAGAATCCATGAGAGACTCAAGCTTCTTAAAAAGACACGCATAATCTCATTTATTTGCATCAATTTATACTAGTTCTACATTACAGTGTAAAAAACAAGCTATATTCGCTTGAGGATTGTACTGAGATCTTCACACTGCTCTGTGAAGGCGGTGAGTCATCTGCCCTCTGCTATTCATGTGTGGACTTGTCCCCCCAGCTTGCGCAGGACTGGGGGAGGGAGTGACACCTCCCTGCTGTGGTCCATCCTTTCTTGTCAGAAGCAAATGGAGCCCTGACGAGGGATGCTGGGACCAACCCATCAGGGCTCCTTTGGTGACAAAGTCATTTCACTCCTGCCTGGCCATGAGGAGCTCTGCTGTAGGAGGGGTTCAAGATCTTGTCCTTTCTATGGCAAAGTCTTTGAAAATAGCCTGTGAAACTGAATGATTTTAAAGAACAGCTTTTAAGCATTAGTGAGGAAATTAATAAAAGTGTGCCTCAAAATCGGCAAGCCACATGCTGCTGTCCCCAAACTGGCACTGTGTGAGCTGAAAAAGTGCCTTGGCTGGGTGACCATGGTTCAGCTTGATCTAGATGGACGGTTATCTCCTGCCTCTGTCAAACTGTTTGTATTATTCTCTGTGGGGTTTTCCTGTTGTTTTTTTTTTTAATCAAGAAGGGGGAAGGGGCAGATCAGCAGTGGTAAAAGTTGTCCTGCCTGCATTCCACAAAGTAGTAAACTGCTGGCAAGCAGTGGGAGTATAATTAGAAGAGGGAGCTGATTAATGTCTTTGGGCAGGATGGACTGGTGATCTTGAGCATGGCAGTGCTAAAGCACTGCAACATCTGACTTGGAATTGCTCTCCTGCTTGGAGGAATCAACAGATCCCATCCCACGTCCCCAGGTGTAGGTTTGACAAAAGCCAGTGAGCTGAGCCGGGTGGACGTAAAAAGCAAGCATTGCTGTTGGGAGAGGTGGGCTCTAGGGGCATTTTCCTGCTTTGCTATGGAAGTTGCTCCAAGAAGGAGAAGTGCACAAGTGTTTAGCTCAATCACTGGGTATCAGGTGGGACAGGGAACAGTCCTCTCTTGTTCAGGGCTCACTAGTTTGTATTGCAGCAAGTTGAGACTGCTGTGGAGATGGCCTGGATCAGTTGAGTGGGACAGCCCTGAATTTTTAGAAGTGCAAGAACAGGATGGGGAATACATGAGACACAGTGACTTGCAAAACCTTTTAGAGGAACAAACCTTTCCTTCTTCCCAAATGAGTCTAATGTATACATTGTTTACAGCGCTGATCGGGAGACTGAAAGTGTTCCCATGCATGCAGAAGGTAATCCTGTCCTGAGGTTTGGGTAATGCTTTGTGTAGTCCTTAAACCTAAAATCTTGCCAGAAAAAGGTGGTTCTATTGCATCATAATGTGTATGAAGTAGATATCTGTACATAAATGTAGGTTTTGATGAAAAATATATATTTTGATGGGAGCATTATGACATACAACATTAGCTGAGAAAATAAATAGAGTAGGTGCCTCTGAAGTTAAGTTCTAATAGATAGTCAGTTTTCTTATGAAGGAAGTGCAGATGCCAGGAGCACAGTTACATTCATTAGTACGTTAATTTCACCCACCAGTGTTACTTGGAGTTTAAGGTTTCTATAAGCTGAGAGAGTGCACAGATGGATGTCTTGAAATTCTCTCTGTGGTTCTTCATGTTACTAAATTGCAGGGTTAATGGAA